AGAGAATATGAGAATAAGTAAGCATTATTAAGGAAAAAAAACAAAAAAAACAGGAACTGAGAAGGTAATAATTGAAATTGCACTTAAATTTTTGAAGATCAAAATTGACTGGAAAATAAAAAGCTGGAAAAGAATTCAACAAGTGAAAAGTGCAAGAGAAGAAACTGTTAGCATAGAACTTAGATATATCTAGCTATTTTATCTGTAAAATGATGAGACATTGTGACAAATTCAGTACTGTGCTTAAATTCATAAAGTCCAGGTACCAAAGAGAAAATATCATCAGAATAATTACCATGAAAAAATTATGTATGTATGGGCACATGGCCAAGTGGTTAGAACATTCACTTTCTGACCATAAGACCTGGGTTCGAATATCACCATGGTCAATTTGTCAGGAAGAAAACTTCCTGATGTTATCAAACTGGATCAAGGTCAATCCTAGCATGCGGCACCTTTGGAAAGTGCCTGAAAACTATACCACAGGTTGACCCAAGCCTTGTGAGTGAAATTGGGTAGACGGAACTCTTGGGGGTTGTCGATAGCTGTGCTAGAACAAAGCCACAAGTCATTGTGGCCGAGGGCTTGAACATGCTGGCCTCGTTCAAATTGTTAATCATGCTAGATAACATGCTCTCTCCTAGAAACTATAACTAAGCTCTGCTCATCATAGTTGTAGTATAAACCACAGGTGGGCTCTGTGGGTGTTGAGCAAACACAAATGTGCTTGAGTGAGCATCTGCAATAGGGATTAGCTAGTTGCCCTAGTAGATGGGTAACCTCGAATATGAATGGCCAGCTATCATATATATATATATATATATATATATATATATATATATATATTTTATGTTTATACATTCTTTTTATAGATACAAATATTTAAGTAAATGCTCTGTTTATAATAAACAGTATTAACAACATTTACTGGCCTGAATATCCGAGACATTTTCATAGAAAATATGTATTGTCTGACAGGAGTCAAACCTGTATCCTATAAGGAACCGTCATATAGCCTGACGTGCTTTTACTGATTTAGCCACAGAGGAGTGTTTCAGTTAGCAAGGTCAATTTTACTGTTTTTAAACTACAATTCTCCATGATTTTCTCTCATACATTCATATCTGCTTGATGCATATCCAAATGTAAACAAATGACGTCACACATTATGAAATGGACAAAGTCTGACAATTATTTTAAGACATTTTTATAAACATAAAAAAATTGTCGGACTTTGTCCATTTCACACATACATACATATATATATATATATATATATATATATATATATATATGGTGTGGAATATTCTCACAAAGCTTTATCATTATTAGTACTTTTTTCTGCCTTGAAGAATTGATGTCTAAAATCTTGGCCTTTATCTGAAAGAAAAATTGCTAGTGCCAAACAATTATGTAAGCTTATAGGTAGATTACATAGTTAAAATAATACATAAATAAAATAAATAAAAGGGATCATGTTATATAATCTGGGTGAATATTGTATTTCTGTATATTCATGCATTTGTCTTCCAATATTACACTTTACACACATCTATGTCACAATCTAATATGCAAAACTAATATGAAATCTATCTGACTGAAAGTATTCTTGATATATGAGGGGGTGGTGAAAATTTGAAGCCTCAATCAAGAAAGAAATTAAATAATAATTCTGTTTGGTCATTTAATCAGATTTTGGAAAGTAGGGAGAATCATTAACTTTTTAGCACTCTCATATATTTCTAGATGTTACAATCTTAACCTTTTCAAGTTAAAGGTCAATCGTTACCTATCCTCTATATCCTTATAAACTTAGTTCCTACTCTTACATTCATATCATGCACCTTATTCAGTAGAACTCTACCTTGAGTTTTTCATGAGCCTTGCATTGTGTAAACACTAGTAAAGAAAAAAAAAACACTGAATATTAATGTATACAAAAAACTGCTGAATATTAATGTATACAAAAAACTGCTGAATATTAATGTATACAAAAAACTGCTGAATATTAATGTATACAAAAAACTGCTGAATATTAATGTATACAAAAAACTGCTGAATATTAATGTATACAAAAAACTGCTGAATATTAATGTATACAAAAAACTGCTGAATATTAATGTATACAAAAAACTGCTGAATATTAATGTATACAAAAAACTGCTGAATATTAATGTATACAAAAACTGCTGAATATTAATGTATACAAAAAACTGCTGAATATTAATGTATACAAAAAACTGCTGAATATTAATGTATACAAAAAACTGCTGAATATTAATGTATACAAAAAACTGCTGAATATTAAAGCATAAAAATTTATTCTGAAAATCAATTATCAGTTGGACAAGCATAAAATTGGAGGGTACCAATCTCCTAGATACTCTGAAACTGAGTAATTGAAAGCATTACATTTTAATACCATCAGATGACATTAGAGAGCCAGTTGATTTCAGTGTACTTCCTGAGAAACTCAAGGATTATGACCACATCACATTGAAACACCAGTTCTTCTATGTTCACCAAGGTTAAGCTGTATCAAGACTGGTCAGTACTTAGATGGGTTACTACTTGGGGATATTAGGTGTTGGAAGCTTGGATGTGACGGTGTTTTAATGGATAATGACTTGGAATTGAAAATTGAAGAGCAGAGTTCCAACTCCAGTCAAGTTCATTATATTCACTTAGGCTCAAATACCCTTGAATCAACTTCTCTCTCCAGCTAGGAATTCTATGAGAAAATCATTATCTGCAAAAACTTAGACCTTAAAAATAGTTTCTGGCTTTAAATAACCTGCAAAAGGTTGATAGGCCATGACAAAACAATAAATCCTGAGGAACCCTGTACAAATTTGATAAAGAAAATTATAGTAATATACAAATTATATTGGTAAGCAGATTTTTGCAAGTAAAAATTGTATTGCCTGTAGTTTTAATCTCCTAATCTGTCCTACCTTGAAGAATCAAAGTTTGAAATGTTGGTTTGGTTTGGTTATTGTTTTGTTTTATGGCATATCAACCTCAATTACCAACAATTTTTTTTTTTCCTGGTAATATTTCGTTTTGTCAAAAATTTATTTCTGGTAATATTTTCTTCCTCAAAAATGTATAGCTGGTAATATTTTTTTTTTTTTTTCAAAAACGTATTGCTGGTAATAGTATTTTTTCTTCAAAAATTTATTTCTAGCAATAATTTTTTACAAAGTATTTCTGATATTGAAACCTATTTTTACACTTTAATAATGCTTTTTACCTCAGTTTCGGGGTTAACTATTTGCCCATAGCTGGGACCCTAACAGGTGCTACCACCCCGGGTCAGAGTGAACCTGGGAACACCAGCAATTAAGAGGTGGTTCCATGCTCCTCAAAATCTCCTGATCAGAGGCCTTGCTGTTGAACGTAGTGTATCGTCTTACCCTGGATGGCTGAAATGTTGGCATTTATCTAGAGGCCAAATTGCTAATATCTAATAATTACATAAGTTTATAGATCAATACAAACTATTAAATGACCAAGTCTGCTGAATAAAGTCAATATAAATGAATATGTCTAATAAATCAAGTTACATAGATGATAAAATGTACAAAGTGGGGTGGATTTATAAATTATTCAATAGATTGAACAATTAGATAACCAGATTTTCAGGGATAACAAAGGATAAAATAACATATTTCCATAAAGAATCCAGGCAATGTTTAACAAAAAGCATTTTGTTGTATCCTTAAAGAAGGTTACAATCAGACATAGGTGGTGCTCGAGTGAAACGGCAACATGGGCATAGATGAAAGAAAGAGAGGTTTATTGTAAAAGAGAATACACTACTGAAAGACAGGGAATCGGTTAGCAAGCTAGTAATTCCCAAAGCAAGTCCGCCAAGTATATCCTGTGCTATTGTATATATCTACTGATATAGTCAGTCCACATAAGTGATAGGGAGTGTGGGACACTCCATTACAAAACATTTTTTTTTTTTTGCAGGATTGTATCAAAAGGGTGTTTTTCTCTTGACACTGTATACTCCCTCAGTAATTTTTATTATTTTAATAAAACCCAAATATGAAAGCGAATTCATGCATTCTCTCTTTTACCTCAAGAATTGGCAACAAGAAAATTAAATACATTATTTTATTAGACCATTTATTTACAAGAGTATAAATGTGGACCAACTATAAGGCAATATTTATTATTTCAGTCAGTTATGTGCCTTGCGGGATACACGTTTAAACAATCATGTATCTTTTGATTGATGAAGCAGACTTTTTCCTGCAGTCGGTTGCCATTTCTTTCTGTGGTAGACCAGTTGCTATCCAAGTCTATAGAACTTGGTTTGTCCTGCTATTTACACATAGCTGGTGGGAGAAGAAGAGGATTCATACCTTTCCCAAGGGTATTAGCACATATATGAATGTAATGGATTCGACTGGAATTCGAACTCAGCTCTCCAGTTCCTCAATCTGAGCCACTATCCATTACTCCACCGTCCCTGCCATTTCTTATTTACTATATTATAAGGAAATAACTATGAAAACAAATTTCTTTTCATTCATAAATTATAAAAATGTCTGTAAACAAATAATTTAAATAAACCTGTAACTATAAGCCAATATAATTATATATTTTGAAAAAATGCATTTTCCGAACATTTCCATTAAAATATATTACAAGCATCTGGATTTATACTTATTTTTATACCTATTTTTTGTCTTTTTTAAGAATTGACAATAACTATTAATTTATTAAACTATTTACAAGAACACTGGCGCTAGCTATAGATTGCAACTCTGCTACATTAGAGAATCAAATTAAACTGAAAATCATCTCGCTGGATCTTCTGAAATCCAAGAATCCATAATTTTCTCTCAGCTGCTACAAACACTAGTAGCAAGTTGCTATTGTTTAACTAGCAGGGGAACAATAATGCTTTTCATTCTCCCTATTGTTGGATTTCATTGTTTTGAACTTTTTGTTGGATGGATTTTAAAGAGGTTCCTTTGACAGTTATGCAATTACTTGGTTAGGGGATGATGATAACAATGTTGAGGGAATGGACCTGAATGAAATGAAAGACAGTGGTACTGTAGTTAGCTCTTTGTGAAGGCTCTTGGGTGCAGCAGCTGCAGCTGTCTGTTGACTGTTGTATGTAATGTCCATGCTGTGCTTGTGAAAATAGAATGCCAATTAAAGCAATGACCCTTCCTCATCCCTTCTACTTTTTCATTTTCATTCCATTTTTATTCTTTCTCTTTCTCTTCCTTGTTTACTTTTCTCTTTCCTCTTCCATCTTTCTTTTCAGTTCCTTTCTTCTCTTTACCTCTCTATTTTGTTTCTCTTTCCTCTTTATCCTTTTTTATCTTTGTTTGTTCTGCTAATTCTTCTTTTTTCTCTTTTCTTAGTTTTTATTTTTGTTTTTTATCATCACCTTTTCTCTCTCTTCATTTCTCCTTCATTTCTCTCTTTCTCTTCTCTCCCTCTCTGTCTTCTCTCTTTTCTCTATCTCCTCTCCCCTCTCTTTTCTTTCTCTTCTCTCCTCTATCTCCTCTCCCCTCTCTTTTCTTTCTCTTCTCTCCTCTATCTCCTCTCCCCTCTCTTTTCTTTCTCTTCTCTCCTCTATCTCCTCTCCCCTCTCTTTTCTTTCTCTTCTCTCCTCTATCTCCTCTCCCCTCTCTTCTCTTTCTCTCCCCTCTTCTCTTTCTCTCCCCTCTTCTCTTTCTCTCCCCTCTTCTCTTTCTCTCCCCTCTTCTCTTTCTCTCCCCTCTTCTCTTTCTCTCCCCTCTTCTCTTTCTCTCACCTCTTCTCTTTCTCTCCCCTCTTCTCTTTTTCTCTTTTCTCTCTCTTTGCTCCTCTTCTCTCTCTCATTGTTTTCTGCTTTTATATTGTCTTTTCATTTTTCAGCTTTTTCCCTTTTATTGTTTCTCTTATTTCTACTCTTGCACTTTGTTTCTTATTCAGCTTATGTTGTTTTTCTTTTTCTTTTTTTTTTTTCAGTCAGTCTTTTTTTTTTCTATTACTTATATCTCTTTAGTTCTATTTTTCCAACATCTCTGTTTTCTATCTGTAACTTTTAATCAGCTTGTTCCTTCTTATTTTTTTTTCTTCTTCTTTCTTTCATACTGTTTTCTATTTTTCCCTTCCATTCCTTTCTTTTATTCTTTATTTATTTTATTCAAGTCGGGTTACATTGAGACCATTATCATCTAAAAGAAGCCAGACCTTTTATCAACAATATTTGCGTACACAATGCCTGACAGAACGATACTGTAAAACAGCAATATCTCTTGCTGTTTATACTTCTTTGTTCAAATTTCTTCACAACATTGTTAAAAGATTTGCAATTGAACCCTACTTATTAGTTTTTCTCACACTTTACTTCCTCTATTATTTCCCCCAGATTACTTCACACAACAAGAGAGTCCCCAGTTATCAACTCTGATTAGGAAGACTGTACAAATCCATTGAGATTTCCAGTCCTAACAACTGTTGTCTTTTCTTTACCAGTGACAGGCTGCCCTAAATCCTGACATTTCTTTTGCTTTCTCTCTGTTTTGGTTAATAAAAATGCAAGGAAAAGGAAAGTACTTGAAGCCTCTTGTTAACTTCTTGAATTCAGTGAGTGATGCAGTTGACAACTTTAACCCCAAAATATGAGAGAAGTGATATATACTTTATATATATATATAGTCATATTTGATCATTAACTTTTTTTAATCAGTATCACATCATGCAAGGCAATAAAAGCCATTAAAACAGATGGGGTTACAGGGTGTGGAAGAATTAGGAATAGAAACATTAATAATGAGCAGAAAAAGAAGAGTAATCAGGAGGACAGTAGGTAGCGATTGATATTGCATTTAAATTTTTAAAGATTAGAGTTGGCTGGAAAGCATGGAGCTGGAGGTGAGTTTCACAAGTGAGAAGTGTGAGAACTGTTAGCATAGAATTTACAGCTACATCTAGCCAACTCTGTAAATTGATGAGATCTCGATGTTAGTCTAGTACTGCACTTAAATTCAAAAAGTCAAGGTACCATAGTGAAGAGCTCATCTGAACAATTACCATGAAAGTATTTATATTACAGAGAGGTAACTCTACAGTGATGAGAAAGTAACTGAAGCTGAGCCACCAGATCAGGACCAATAATATTGCCGATTCTTCTTTGGATCTTATCAAAGAGCTCAACGTATATAGCAAGGGCAACAGACCATATTTGGCAGCAATATTCTAAGCATGGTTGAATGGTAGACTTATTAGATATTTAAGATAGATTCTGGAAAGACAAATTGTCTTGCATGACACAACTTTCTTAGCAGCTGACCCAACAATGGATTCAATATAGTCTTTCCACTTCATGTCGGCTGAGAGCATGAGCCCAAAAAGGCACAATGAGTCACTTTTCTGGAGGTTAGCATCAGCCATGTTGATGGAAGGCAGCAAAGGTCTCTCAAATGATTAATGGAGAGATGTTTATTTTTGCTGGTGTTAAAATTAACAAGCCATCTTTTGCCCCAGTTATCGATGGAGCAAAAGATGGCTTCTTAATTTTAACTTCTCCAAAACTAAACTGCTCTCCATTAATCATCTGAGAGACCCCTTGCTGTCTCCCATCAGCATGGCTGATGCTAACTGCCAAAAAAATATATCTTTTTACTTTCTTCTTTTTTGGCCAGTACTAATCTCTGTAATTATTTTTTGTCAGATCAACCTTTTCACATAACAAAAATAAAAGAATTTGATAAAGAAATATATCAGTTTGCTAAGTGAACAGGAGATGTTTATATGGTTTGTTTTTATTCCTTGGTTTCATCTGACAGCATATCAACCTTCTTTTTTTCTTTTTAACACTAAACGTTGCTGTCTAGATAAGCAACAGATGGGTAGACATAGGTCAAACTTGCCTGCTAGTCAAAACAGTAGACATATCTGGGTTTGCACAAAGCAGGGGAGGGGGTAGACAAAAGTATGGCAAACAGGTGGCCTCTTTTTTATGGTTGCCTTTGGTGTCTCTGCATGGGATGTGGTCAGCGTATTCTTCATCCCAACTGACAGGGTAATCCTTATTTTAGATATTCCCTCAAAACAGCAATTGTATTTATACTTCTAAAACTTCACTATCTATATCTTTCATAGACAATACAAAAGCATTTGATAAGGTACAATAGAAATATATATTTGTACTGCTAGGAAGACTTGGGAAAGATATTAGAATAATTCAAAACATTGATTAGGAACAAACCACCTATGTACAGATAGAAAATGAACTGTGCAAATATAATAAAAAAAATCATAGAAATGGGTATAAGATAAAAACGCATTGGATTTATTCAACTTAGGCATTCCTGACAAAACTAGAAGTCCTATCATGATTTATTATTTTCAGACTCAACCTTAATATATGATATGCACATGAAACTGTGCTGATAGCAGACTCTGACAGAAAACTACAGAGACTCTGATACAATGTAGTAAAGGAAAGTAAGAAACAACTATCAATTAGTAAATGCAACAGTCAAGATGGTAGACACAAGTCGAAAACATCAGAATCAAGCAGGTACAGAAATTGAACTATATAGGAAATATGATAGAAAATGTAATACAAATAGGAAAAAATAACTTCCAAAAACTAAACAAAGTATTAAGAAACAAGAAAATTTAATTAGAAACAAAGTGTGCCAAATTGCCATGTAATATCAAACCTCTATATGATGCATTCAGCTGAGAAGTTGAATCTGTCTATATTTCTGAGATGAGGTATTATGTACATTATTCGGATTATTGTCATAGAAATGAATACAATATGGGAACCAGTAATAAAGAGTGCCAGAGAAAAGCAATAATAACAACAAGAGTTGCAATATGAGTTCTGGTAAAAACATGTAATGATAACAGCAAAAATTGCAATATGAACACTAGTAAAAATGGTTGCTGAAGACATGAAGTTTATAATATTCAGATGTCCTAAAAGACACATGGCACAGTGGATAAAGGCATTGGTTAGATCCAGTGATAGAGTGCGAGTTCAATACCCGGTTAAGGCAGTGGAGAACTTTCAGAGGGAAATTAACAGGAAATAACTGATAACTTACATCCATTAAACATGGCAAGTGGAACTAGAACAGTCTACCTCAGTGATTGAAATAAAGGGTTCAGTTCGACATTCCAACCACCTGAAGAAGTGTACAACGGCCGAAATGTTGTGATAAATATGGCGACAAAGATAAGGACAATAGTCCGAATAATGTAAATAATGAGAGGGGAATATTCAACATTTGATAATTTTGTGGCAATACCTGCTTAAAAGTTTTTGATTAACATTTCTTTTCATGGTTACAAGGAATTGTAAATGTAGGACTACCTTACATTTAAGTAAAATAATAATATTTATTAAGAATTTATTACAGGAAATATCAAGTTTTACAGAAACATTTTTGACAATTATGTATTTAGTTACATAACAAATAAATAAAAATAATATAAATTTTGGTGCTATATTTGATTTGTTGTTAGGTATTTTTTATTTTCTCCTTTGTTATTGGCAGCATTTTAGAATACTTTAGCTGCAATGCTAAGTTTCCTAAGTTGAACAAACTGGAGCTATTTTGTTTATGGTTTCTTACCTCTCTTTTCCATTGTTGTTTTTAGATCACTTTTTTCCAGTTATTTTGATGGGCAATAGCAAAATTCTGAAATTTAGAATGATCTTATTCCATTTCAAAAATAAAGCCTGTAAAAAGGAATATTTTAAATTACAACCAAAAAACCAGAATATTTTAAATTACAAAAAAAAAATGCTTTTGAGAAAAAATCTTAAAGATTTCACTATAATTATGTAACACTAATGATATTCCGCAGACAAATCTATGGTTTATGTTACCTCATCTCATTGCATAGTTACAAACTATAAACCTAAATTGAGCTTGAAATATTGTGTAATTGGCTCTAATTTTTGTAAAATAATTGGATATGATACGTATAATTTGCAGTGAAAAAAGCAATTTTCGACTTTTTGTTGAATATGCCCCTCCTCCGCCAAACATGTTATATGGATGCTAATAGATGAAGAGAAAACTTGAATCAACAGAGATGTGATTCTACAGAAAGATGCTGATAATAACATAGGTGGAACATGCCAGCAATGAGGAAGTTTTAAGGAAAAATAATATGAAAAAGATACTTATACTTTCAATTAGAAAGAGTCAGTTGAAATTTCTAAAACATAATGAAGAAAGGCTTGGAAAATTTGACACTCTCAGGACATATTGAAAGCAAGGAGGGCATAAAGAAACAATGAGTAATCTATCAAACAAGCTTGTGTAAATGGATGGCAAACAGGGACTGGGAGAGATAGTAAGGGGACAAATATTGCTTAGGGTGACAAAGGATAGGATGTTGTGGTGGTTCATGGCTATCCTCCTCCTGAAGGAACATTGCATGTAAAAGAAGAATTAAACAGCAAAATACAGAGGAAAAGATCTGTTTAATCATTCCCTTCTATATCTGACAAGAGTCTTGAGCACTTTTAAAAATGGCTGAGCTTTATCTGTTATGTCTTTGTTGCTAGGATGATGGGAAACTACTAGAGAATGCAAGAGATTTGGGGAAGGTTTGTAACTTACAGAGCAGACAAAATAGTTTGGGAACCAGTGGTTCCCAAACCTTTTTTCCTCTGGGCCACATTTTTCTGAATGAAAATTTGTTCATGCCTTACCAAATTTTATATGATAAAAAGTACATTTAAAAATAAAAAGCAAAGAGAGGATTAAAAGGAGATAACTGCAGATTCAAAGTCAGAACATTATCATTGATGACTCTCTCCTCCAATTTGCAGACTCTAGTTACTATATTCTTAATACTTGATATAAT